CATCTAATAGAAGGGAAGAACAAAGCTCATATAAACAGATTTTGTTTCTATGATGATTTAATTTCATCTCGTTTATCATATAACCTCATTAGAACATAAGTATTTTCTTGAATTTTTAAGTTTTATTGTGTCTTTTATTGTATCATGTATGTACACCTTTTAACAGCATTTCATCAACATTGTGCTTCCAATTATACAGCTTGTTCATTTTTATAAAAATTACGAAATCTTGCTTTTTTTTAAGTCCCTCGGTACATATAATAATGTTTAATAACAGTTTATATACATTTTAAATAGTAAAACATAACTATTTGAAATCCGTACGGGAAAAATTGACCTAGTCTTTTAATTTCAAAGTTTGATATTTTTTAGACCTTTCAATGTGAGAAAGTAATTCTTATCATATGCTCGAAGGCTTGGTTAAAAAATACTGATTTGGAATAATTTTAGCTTGATTTTTTTTTCTGTTTATTACTCAGTGATATTCCTTTGTGATTTATTTGCACTTAGTACACTTTCATTAATACTTTTGTTACATTCGGTAAAGTGAAAGAATTTTTTAACAAATAAATTATACATTTTTAATATTCATATGCGGCTTTATTACTTTAGGTTCATAATCTTACACTGACACAAAAAAAAATTCATTGAACAATATTTTTTTTATTTTTAATTTATGCAAATAATGTTATGAATCAGCTGCCTACCAATACCACCTTGTCACTGTTTTCTGGAATACGAACCCTTTTTTTTCCTCCCAATGGCGGGCACTAGCCATTATAGGCGCTGGCCAGTGCTAAGGCCAGAAGCGGTGGTCACTTTATTATGAAGGCACCTAATATGTAGTTCACTGTTGTCTCCTATAAAGGGGCAGACAGTTTATACTGATCATCAAAATCAAAGAATAATGACAGAAATAAAACGCAACTGATGCCTCATGAAAAATTATTTATAAAAATTTGTACAAAAACATTCGTCAACATAAATTACAATGTTTGGCAGTTGATTATTCGCAAAATATTGAAATTTAAACCAAATTTACAGAAACTGGAAAATGAGGGGAAAATTAAGTCACCTCTTGAGTTTTCTTTAATATGGTGTATGGTTACCTCGGACAGATATGCATTCCTCACATCTTGATTTCATAGACTTCCCAAAAGTGTTGATCAAGTCTTGTGGAGCTGCATGCCATTCTTCTAAAACTGAAACTTTTCTGCACCTGTAGGGTTCGGGAACGAATTTGGCGTGCTGAAATTCGGTGCCCTAAGGCATTCCACACATACTCAATCGGGTTCAAGTCGGATGAGTAAAGTGGCCGATCCATTCGAGTGATATCTTCTGTCTGCAACTAATTTGGCACCACATATGCTCGACGGAGTCGAGTATTGTCATCCATTAGCAAAACATCTGGGCCATGGAGGTAGGAAGTAAGATGGAGTCGCCCTAAACAAGTTTCTCCGTACCCTGCTCTGAAGCACCGGCGATCCCTACGTGGTGACCAAAACATTGGGTCATTTACCATTGAGTTCTATGGGATTTGACGGTTCGGGTGTAAATATTTTGTAATTACGTCGCAAATACATATAAATGTATATATTTCTTTTTTACAACACTTCAGAGTCCTAAGTATGTGAAAACAACATATTTTAAACAACATTTCATTCTGAACGGAATTAAATGCTATATACTTTTTCACAGGACAGTTTTCTCAGAATGTTTAATTTGAATGAATATTTCACAAGTTTCGTTAATTACATTAGGAAAAAAAATGAAGGTAATTCGATTTTATTCGGTTAAGGTACAAAATTAAGATCAAAGTTTATGTATTATTAATATTAAAATTATGCATTATTTCTTTTCTATTTATAGAGCTTCTTCCTAAAATACTTCTTAAATATGACATGTTTTTTGGCTTCTTTTAAATCGAAAATGTAAGTCAATTTATAATTAAATCTCTATTCGGTTCATTTTAAATTAGAAAATATTAGGAATTAGCGAATACTTTAAATAATATTCGCTAATTCCTAATAATTAATAGGTATAAATAGTATTTGACTTTCTCTGAACATTTTCTGAAAGGGAATAAATAAGTTTTTTTTTTTTTTTAAGTATTATTTAAACTGTAACTGAGTTATTATAAATGTAAAGCGAATAATTCTTTTAATTTACTTATCAGATTTTTTTTTACCCTTCATTTCAACAATACATATTCCAAATCTTTATTACGTTCCTTAAGTGCGCATCTCATAGCATTGCTTTACAATACCTTTTAACAGATTGCTTTCCAATACGAACAATTCTTGCTTAAATAGTTTATACCGTATTTGTCAACGGATTTCAATTTATGTTTACAATTCAATATTAAGGTTATTATATATTTAGATAACATTTATAATCATTATAAATTAGATACATTTAATCATTAGATTTCTTCACAGTACTTTCACAGTTGTTTATAAGGAATAAATTCTTCATTTCAAATACATTTATAATAATTTAATGAATATTTAAGTATTTTGTCAACAGGCAGATACATGCTTTTTGCAAGCACATGCATAAATATCCATACATATTTCCTATTTATCATTTCCGGCATTGCAATCTTTAATTTCTGTGCATTCACTATATTTTTCGTGTAAAGTAATTACACTAATTTAGCATACACCCGAAAGTTTTACATAAAAATATATATGATATAATTGAAGAAATTATAAGTATTATTTTTAATACCCACTCAAAGGTCATTTTTCTTCAAAATTCCTCCACGATGGCATCTCTCTCTCTTTAGGCAGATAGCCCTTGCATGCGTTACTCTATTTAATAAAAACTTAATCTGACCTATGTGCCTAATTAGAAGTATTTTAACATACATAATTTTCTATTTACATTTAGCCATCAAGTTTCAAACTTTCAAATCTTCTAGAAAATAATTTTGGCAAATCTCTTTAGCATTTTCTTAAAATCTATATTTCTGTAGTGCAACAGCTTAGAATTTATAAAACAAATTCATAATCAAAATCGCTGTCGAAAAAAACCAAGATGTGAATTTTTGCGTAAATGTCAGTAAACTATACAAATTGCTATTATCCATCACACTATGAATGTTCCTTTTATGCGAGAGTGTCCCTTTTTCGATTTCTATGGAACTGTCGTGTGTCGAAATACTATCAGAATCTTGTCAAGCGAGCTTCTGAATGTAAACAAAGAACACCCCGTCTGGTGACCCAAGCTTCAAAGCAGTGCTTCACTTCCAAAGCGGAATGGCCCCTCCTCCCTTTCCTACCTCCATGATCTGGGCCAACGGCACGCTTAAACGATCTAACGTGGGCTTCCAATACTTCGTCCATATATATGAAGTGGGCCCACCAGCGGCCGAGCGGTAAAGTCGCTGAACACTGGTAGTTCGGTCCGAGGTTCGAATCCCGCGGACGGGCTGGCTGCATGGGCGTTTTCGTGGTTTTCCCCATCTGTAACGTGTATACGAGCCAGTTTCCCTTAGAAAGTCCTCCACGAAGGCATCCCTCCCCTTAGGCAGATAGCCCTCGAGGCTTTGCCATAATCACACACACACACATATATGAAGTGGTTACAGAATCTCCTTGAATGATATGATGTCGGTGCGGCCATTTGTCATGATTCTTCCCCAAACTATTAAACCGCCGTCGTGGAAACGGGATATTTCACAGACAAGGGACGGTAAGTCGCGTGTGCCGTCCTCTCTTTATATGAAACACTTTTAGAATCTATGTTCGGATTATATCTGGGCTCATCAATAAACAATACTCGAGCTCAGTCGTCTTGGCTTCATTGAACATGACGACAGCACCAGTTTAAACGGGTCCTTCTGGAAGCTGGAGTGAGACACAAACTATCGGTTTTCCCGCATACAGTCCAACCTCGTTAAACCTTTGTGAAGCAGTGAAACTACTAATTCAAGATCCTGTGCCAGCCTGAAATTCTAAAACCAATTCTCTTGCAGCCGCTTCGAGGTTTCTTCGAGCCGACAACGATAGAAAACTTCTTCTGATGCAGTTGTTGCTCTTGGTCGCCCTTGACCAGGATGTCTATCAACTGATTCATTGCTTAAAAAGCGGCTCCAGACTCTTCATGGATATTCAAACCTTTTGCGACCTTCATTTGTATTTGACCTCCCTCGATTCCACCAATTATTCGCCACTTTTGACCTTCACTTAAATGATGCCTTTGAGCCATAACTACTGAACACTGATCACTCTCAGAAACTACATTCACTTTAAACAGCACTATAGACTGGAATTCCAGCATGCGTTCTTTGTGCGCGCAACGTAAAGCACCAAATTTGCATATTTTTGGCTCTAACGTGTGCACTAAAGTTCAATTTTGTGTTTGATTGTATTTAATTAACATAAATAATTACAGCATTGGACACTGATTGCAACATTAACTTAGTAAACATATTTTGTTATTATACTTTAATTTTGATGAGCAGTGTACATCTATACCTTCTCCGAGATTTTAACCCGGACTTCGGTAGGGGTAGTCAGAATCAACAACCACTTTCCAATCTAAGGCGGCGGAATATGATTCCCAAAAGATTCTCTAAATAAGACCTCCTTTTTGATAATAAAAGCATTGATCAAATCTTTTTGCGGCAACCTCTCTTTTAATCTTTTTGCGAACATCAGTTCTCATCGCTTAATTTATTAACATCAGAAATCGTTTCCTAAAATTATGTTTGATTCTCAGTAACATAAAATTTGGAAGGTTCCGCTCTAATATTTATTTACAACAAATGAATTTTCAGGAAATAGGAATTCAAAATTTAAATGTCTCACTATATTTTTACTGCATGAGAGTCAAAACTTTGTATTTTATTTTTAGAATGAGTATAAATTGTAAGTGCTGATGCATAATGCATAAAACAGTATCCCAAAATTTATATTTTTTGTGTATTCTTTTCAAATTATTGTTGCAGAATCTTAAATAATCTATTTCATCTAAATGTTTTTATATGATAACAGATGGTGGACAATAGAAAAGCTTTATATCACATTAGTGAACGTGCGAGGATGCCACGTCATCATAAAGGAAGAAATTGGATAACACGAACAAGTGAAGGATTTTTTAGCAACTGTCAGTGCCAGCACGGGTACAATTCTCAAGTCAGTTACAGTTTACCCGATGACCTAAATACGACAGTAACTGAAAACAGAGATGAAGACTGGTTTCCTGAAGATTAGTGCCATATTTTAATAGAAATTTATTATTTGTGTAGAATTTTATTTTTAGATTGTGTCTATTCTGTGATGATAAGTAATAAATGTATTACATACAATTTATTTTGTGTGTATCCAAAGCGCAAACTCAGTGTGGTATGTTTCCAATTAAATTGTGTTTCCGAACTCACTAGTGGAAGAAAATTATGAGCATGATTAAAGGATTTCAAAATGATGACACAAAGAATATTGCATTAATAAATGAGAAATACGGAGGAGCTTAGCTGAACAATTTTTAATCACTTTATCATAGTTCATAAATAATATTATCTTATTTTATTCAGTGCTATCTGGAACATTCGAGAATAGATCATATTAATGTCATTTTGATAAAAAGCATCAGTTTCCCTTATGACATTCAAATGATGTTCAATAGATTAAAGATAAATAATACTGAATAAACTTAAAATCATTTTAATGGAAGAGGACTAATGGCCGAAAGTCTTAAACCGAGAAACGCATATAGCTCTTGCTAGCATCTGTTTCTGGCGGTTACGCCTGTTGAAGAATTTTCCCGTGTGTAATGAAAACATGCAGCGGTTCCTCTTCGAAAGCCCTCTACGAAAGCATCCCTTCTAATAAAGCGCCCCACCAGTGGTATTGTGGTTAAAGACTGCTGAATACTAGCAGCTCGTCCTAGCTTCGAACCCAGGAGACCGTGCTGGTTGCATGGTTGGTTTCCTTGGTTTTTCCCATGTGTAACGAATACGAGCCAGTTTTAATCAGAAAGTTATTCCTCCCCTTTCTGCAGATAGCCCTTATGTGCTTTGCCATATTCAAATAACCTATTCACCCCCTCCCCCCACAAAGCTAGATAGTGTTGCGTTCTACCGGTTAGGGAATTTGGAGTGACTGATGACAACACTTGATGACGAATGGAGACACAATTTGTTCGCCAGTATTACTCAAGATAGTTCCAAAGACATGTTTACAGTCGTCGAAAAACTCCGATAAACATGCTGAAATAATCAGAAACACAGCCTTCAGGCTACAACGGTGAAGAAAGCTTTACAGTAAAGCACTAAAGTACACTGCGCAAAAACAAAACAAAAAAAGGACAGTTTTATATCTCCCGTTCTACTGGGCCGATTGACGAAATTCAACTTGCGTTTTTTTCATGTCTCAAAAGCGCGACTTAGGATATGTATTATATTTATATATAGCATTGTTCTAACCTATTGGATATTTTAACCCAAATCGGAATTTTTCTGAAATAACATACCAATTTTTTTCCATATTTCGACTCCAATCTAAACGACTCAAATTAAGTCAAAATGCCAAGTTTTGTAAAAATCGGCACAAGTAGGTTTTAAAAAAAAATGAGCTCTCAAAATTTTAGCTCCTATCAATGTTAATTGAATTTGGTCCTATATTTATTAATATCTCTTTTTTTATTATTAAACTTACTTGATTCCTTCTTCCAGAATTTGAAATTTAGGCTTAATCCAAATACAATTTGCACATTATTTATGATTTATTTTTTAAATTTGTATTTTAAAATATTTTTTATAAATTTTTCGAAAACAAATTTGAATTATAATCTATAAAATTTTACCATCATCTTAAAGTAGATGTATTTCTAAGCATACCTACAAAAAATTAGAGTTTTTTATTGAAACTTTCCTAAGATATACGTGAGTTTACATACTGGCGCGTTTTGAAACATAGCTTTTTATTATAAGCGATAATAACGCCAAATGTGATTTACGCACTATGTCAAAATTATTTGAAAGTATGAACGTTGGCTATTTTTCCGCTCATGTACATAAAAAAAAAAAAAAAAAAAAAAAGGGAACGGAAAATAGGTTGCTGTAAATTAAGAACTTTGCCAAGTGATTATTCTTGGCGCAAACTGAAAAAATTGCGCCAAGAAAAAGTTTTAAATTTCTCCATCAATTTCTCAACAAAATTTACAAAATTTCATACTTACGCATAATTTGAGTCGTAGAATCGAAATATGGAAAAAAAAAATGGTATGTTATTTCAGAAAAAGTCCGATTTTGTGTCATAATACCTATGTTAGAACAATGCCATATACAAATCTAATATATATCCTAAGTCGCGCTTTCGAGACATGAAAAACGCAATTTGAATTCCGTCATTTGGCACAGTAGAATGGAAGATACAGAACTGTCCCATTTGCGCAGTGTACATCTCCTGACTCGGTTCGGTCGCTTTCAAACTAGTCTCTGCACTCAACATAGTCTACTCTGCGTACAGGAAGGGCATATATAGCTTTTGGCCTGTCTTCGAGCAGATTCATGAAAAACCGATAAGAATTCGTTCTAGAATGTTCTCGCTCCGTCATATTGCCAATTTTGTCACCAAATGGACGATTTCGAAACAAATATGGCAAACTTGCCTTTCCTTGCTACTTTCTGGCAACCCTAAACCCTCTTTGAATGGAAGCTATCTTACCGCAGCTGGGCATTTCGTAAGAATAGCCTTTGCTCTTCAATTCAGTATTTTGAGATCTGTGTCAAAATCTTGGATTATATTGTATTATTTTATTCAATAAATTAACCTAATCGAGACATCTAGAACTACTAACCTTCTGCAAGATCTTTTAAAAAAAAAACATGATTATGTTCAACCAGTAAGATGCTGCCTCGAGCTCTGCTGTCTTTTGATCGATAATTTTCACCAACTTATTATTCAGAAAATTTTAATAATAATCTCGACAAATATAGAGTATTAGTCAATTTCAATAAAAGAATAAGAATTTGACTTATAATCAGTATTTAGTATATTAAGTATCTTTTGTATGCATGTATACGAATTTCAGTAATAGGAAAGAAAGATGTCATATAACGACAGAAACATTTTTTTGTGTTTGATGTACGATAATTGACTAAATGTTCTCTTCTTGGTGTAAGATACTCACTTTGACCATTATATAAATACAGCATTAATAAAAATAAATCTTCTACATAAGAACCATAATTAAGGTGACACTGCTTGAACCTTTGAAGTTGGCTCTAATAGACATAAATCTGTGATACTTGCTGTGCGCGCGTGTGTGTATGTGTGTAAATTTATATATATGCATATTTATATACAAGGGGGAAAAAGTCACTCAATCTATGCAAAATGTTACAAAAATATTAAAATTAATCAAACTATGAGCATGAACTAAATTGAAATGGTTATGGTGAGAAATAAAAATGACAAAACTTTGAACATCGACAGGCTCAGTGTTCAAAATGTCACCTTTTTCTTCGAATACATGCACGAAAGCGTTTTCCCAAATTTGCTGCCACCTTTCTCTTTGCACTAGTGCCCCCCCCCTTTTTAAAAAAAAATCATGCTTAATTTTTGCTTTGAGTTCATAGAATGTAGTTTGTTGACATAAGCATCATATTTAGGTCACCCCTTAGAATTAAATTCGGGGTGAGAAAACAAGAAAACGTAGGGGCTAGATCCCTTTCAAAATGAGACAGTCAACAAAATTGCCTGTGAGAAATGAAAATTGCCTAATTAGACCTATAGAAAATTGCTCCATTCTGTTGAAACTAACAAAAGTGCTCATCTTCAGGTAATCATTGTAAAACTAAATTAAATTGTGCTTCAGCAGTGTAAAAACAAAATATAAAATTTTCTTACGTTAATGGTGTAAATAAATTATCTTAGTCGCAGACAATAGGGTAACCACTTGAGCTGTTTTGATGAGTTAGTTAATTCTTTTTTTTTCACCATTGAAAGTTAAACTTGGACATTTAATTTTACGCTTTTCTATCACTCTGAGTATATTGATGCCTTATAGGTTCCGTTATAAATATTATTCTTTTTTATGGGTAGTATCGTCTCTCTCCTTTTGCTGAAACAGTTTAAGAACGCCCATCCTCATGGCTCACATTTTGTGAGTACGGGTGTGGCTATCCGGAGGTACCCAAGGCCCTTCAGGGGATCATCTTGTTCGTGAGACAGGTGTGAAGATCCTGGAGCCCCATTGATCCATCCTGTTTTCTGGCTCTCCTCTTCTTAGCTATAACTTTCCTTTCTCATTTATGGTTTTCCTCTTCGGAGGTCTTGAGAAGCTACATAGCTCTTATCCTTAGTTTTCAAGTGGCGAGAAAACTGCCCACGTAATTTGCCGTGCGTGGAGACTCGTGTCGTTGGAAAAGAGGCTTCTGGTAGTTGAGACACACACATTGCTTTGGCCTCTATTTCAGGTAAACGGGAGGCACTTTGTTGTTGTCACTAGTATCAATCGGCTAGTCTCCTGACCTTTGTATCAGCAGCTTGGAGATAGGCTTTCGGAAGTACCTGCTCTAGGGAAAGCCGACTGTGTGGCTTCAATTTATGTATAGGTCCGGCTAGCCCTAATACTAGAATCAATTTTCCTCGTTGGGCTCCGTTGTAAGCATGGCGGTTAGACCTGAATTTTATTTATTTCAAATATGGCTTTTCAAAATTTACATAATCGTCATGATAAGAAACCAGACACAAATGTCCCAAACACAAATACTGAATATGACGAAATAAGAACTGCAAAGCGAATACGCACACTGGAAATGCCAGCGAATCCAGTAATTGTCCACTTTTCCTTATTATACCTAGCCCATCTGGTTAATTAGAAAAGATATATCCTGTTCTCATAAACAAACATATTCATACATGTATTGGTGAGTCAAGAAAGGTAAAGCTTCCGCGTTCTGGAGATTTGCTTGTTGATACGATTTCGGCCACCTACTCTGCTTCTTTACTACAAATATCTAAACTTGGGCAAAGTAACGTAAATGTTTCAGCGCGTAAAATGCTGAACTTTTGTCGAGACGTAATCTCGGAAATCGACATTCTGTTTGTTTTTTAAGAATTCCTTTCTGAGCTAGCCAAACAGAAACATCTGTGCGACTAGGCAAATCAAGATGCGTAAAGATGCAATCAAGATGCGTCAGTTGTTCAAAATAAAATACGTGATACTGACCTTCAACTCATCTGATTTACCTAAGAATATTAAGGCTGGATATCTTAATTGTCGCGAAAGACCTTATATTCCAAACCCGATGCGATGTTTCTGGTACCAGCGATTTGGTCATTTTAAGATCTCTTGCTGTGCAAACCTGACATGTGCGCTATGTTTAGTG